CAGGGTGGCCTGGCAGAGGGGCATCACTGAGGGGAAACAGTCTGTGGCAGGGTAGGCAGGAAGCAGCAGCAGCAAGAAGCTTTCTTTTCTGTCCCTTTTTATTCCATCCAGGTTACAAGACTGTTGACTGATGCCACCCACACCCAGGTTGGACCTTCCGTTATCCACACCCAGAGCTATGCTAAACCAGTTTAGCTATCACATATCCTTAATCCCAGCATCACATGCCCTAGATCCAACCACCTCCTAAAGGCCCACCTATGTTAAGTGCATGAGGCTTTGGGGGACATCTAGATACAAGCTGTGACACCTAGATTTATAGCTATACCAAGTCTCATTTGGACAATTCCCACTTACAGATGTCTAGTATTTTCACTGTTGTATAGGTGCTACCAGACTGTTTATGACTCCATCTTTACTTTCTTCGTTGAAGCTCTAGGGGTGGAGTTACTTATTGAAATTTATATATCTTTTAAAGGCATTTGATATGTTCTGCCAACGCTTTCTTTATGGAACTGCCCATTTTGCCATACACTTGCTAGCCCTGACTTTCATTACTTCAGATATCAGTGACATAGGTGCTCCTTTCCCTTGGACTTTTTGAGGACTTTTTTTTTTTGGTACCGGGGATTGAACTCAGGACCTTGAGCTTGCGAGGCAGGTGGCGGAACCACTGAGCTAAATCCCCGGCCCTTGAGGACTTTTCTTGTCTGTACTGGATTTGTTCATTTTTCTTGTAGTGTTTATTGGTTGGCAGTGGCTGTTTACACACCATAGTGATGTGCAGCATAATGATGTTTCAGTCAGCAGTGCCCACAGATCTGTGGGGGTCCAATGAGATTGTACCGCCGTGTGACGTCGTAGAGTTCTTCCCTTGGGCACGAGTACTCTGTGATGCTCAGACTGCCAAAGTCTCCTCAGGACACATTTCTCAGAATGCATCCTACTGTTAAGGAACAGGTGACTGTAGTGAGAGTATTAACTCTTTCTTTTGCCAATATTCTGCAAATAATTTTTCCCTCATTAGGTTTGTTGGTAGTGATCTTGCCATTGTGAAATATTTAATTTTTAAAGACTTTATAAATATTTTTCTCCTTCATTTCACATCTGTTGTCATGCCAACACCAGTAACATCTTCTCACCCAGGAATATGTGTAGATCTATTCATTGTTGTCTAATGAGGTTGTAAATTTTAACTTCAGTGTTTAATTTGCCAGGGATGCATTTCATGAGGCATATCCTGGCCGATCAGTCTCACCTGAGTTACTCTTTCCTGTCCAGTGCCTTTTGAGCACCTCCATCCTTAAGAGCTGCTGCAGTTTTGAATGCGCTGCAGCTTTCCCTTGGCAGGACCTTCCTCACCTTTCCCACGCATGCTGTGGAATCGCTTCTCCCCACCCTGTGTTCTACACTTTACCCCTGGAGCCTGGAAGGGGAACTTGCAGCTTGATCTGTGTAGAGTGGACCTCACTGGGACTCGGCGTCCCCCCTGCCTCTCTTTGTAAAGCGGGACACAGATGCTCTCTTCCCAGAGCCAGTTCTTGGTTGCACCCTCAGAAGGGCACCTGGCCGTGATCTGGAGCCTCTGGACAGCTGTTTCCATTTCTCGGCCTCCCCAGTGGGTGCTGCTTCCCCCAGGCACTCCGTAAGGTCGGGATTTGTTTATTTTCGGACTGGAAATGGAGAACGAGGAGGTGAGGACTGCCTGGTCTTCAGAGCCTTGGGTCAAGAATGTGTGATTTTTTTTTTTTTGGTACCAGGGATTGAACTCAAGTCCTTGCGCTTGCGAGACAGGCGGTGGAACCACTGAGCTAAATCCCCGGCCCATGAGAATCTGTGGTTTTTAAGAGTTTTCTCTCCCAGTGGCTAGGAATTTACTGTAAATGGTTTCAGGGTTCAGCTGGGTTCAGCTGCTTTGGCTCCTTGGTCAGAAGGGACCCTAGAGGTCGAAAAGTGGGGAGCGGGGACCCTCGGCCAGGCCTCTGTGAGGTCAACAGTGACCTCAGCCCACAGCCGGGTGCAGGGTGCCAGCATGCCTGCCAGGTCATCCTCTCCGAGGCAGTTCCCAGCGGAGACATACCGTTCATCCATCCATCCATCCATCCATTCACCAAGCTGTGTCCAGTGCAGTGCAGGACCCACGTGATCAGAGTAGCTGCCTTGTCTCTCTCTAGAAGATGAGTGGACAGAATCACAGCATACTTTTGGCAAGAGTGCTGACCATTGCAGAGCTGTCTCTGATTTAAACCAAAATACGCTCTGTGTTTGTACTCTAAACACACTCATTGTGAATTTTGTGCTGAGTGTTCCCAGGAGAGGAAAACGGAAGCGTTTTTTGGGGGCGGATTCTGCATGGCTGCTTGGCTCCACCCCCTCCTGTTTCAAGGCTGGGTGACCAGAGGCTCAATTTGCGTCTGGTGCAGCCAGTAATTCAGGGTGCCTTCTTCCTTAGTGTAGACGATGTGCTTGTTGTTAAGCCTGATTTGAAAAATACTCTGTAGCTCTGTTGAGGATTTTTTCTATTATATTTCAAAACACTTTTTTCTTGTGCTTTCTACACAGGCCTGAGAATAAAGAGATCACTTCATGTAGGCTGTGGCCTCTTCTGTTGGTCATTCAAAAAGTCCAGTGGGGTCGGTCCCTGGGGTGGTGAGCAACTTATAGGGAGTTTCTCAACCTTGCTTCTCTGAGAAACTCCCTGACGCACACTTTCGAAATGCTGGCAGAGGACGGGGATGAGGACATTCCCTCTCGTTGCTGTCTTCGAGGGCAGTGCCTCTGTTTCCCTGTTCGGATGCACAGGCAGAGTGTTCGTTAACATGGAGGGTGTGGGTGTCTGAGTCCTAGGCCACCCTGAGGCGCTGCTCTGCCTGAGCCCCAGCTGCCAGGTAGGATGTCTTTGTGGACCGTGCCCGGGGGCACCAGATGGGACATTCCAGCCCCAAGTGACATGGGTGCCTTGGGCTGTGCACACAGCCAGGCCCTGCAGGGCTGCAGACTGAGCCCGTGAGCAGTGGCTGGCCTGTAAAATCGCTGGACCGGAGGTTGGCGAGCTGCTCCGGTGATAGTACTGTGCACAGTGCTGGAAGGCCCAGCCCTTGCCTGGGCCCTGGACACAGCCACTGTGAGCTCCTGCCTGGCCTCTCCAGGACTTGGCCTCTGTCCTTGGTGCTTTTACCACATGTCCTTTTGCACTTGTGCACCACAGTTAGTGTAAGTGATCTGAATTCTCTGAGTCCTTCTAGCAAGCTTGGGCATGTGAGCATGTTCTTGGGGCCCCCGACTTAGAAGAGCTTTGTATTTTGCAAAAATCATTAGAGAAAGGAACTGATTATTCTGTCTCTAATCTGCTGCTCTCTTGCTTTTTAAAAGAAAATTTATTTTGAATGTTAGTTTATCAAGCACGGCATCATTTTTACAGATGTTTACTTGGCTTTTGTCTTATTCCTGTGGTAGAATAGATTGGCTGATTTCCTAATGTTTTTGTTTTTCTTGACATTACTCAAGCTTTGTTGTGTCGCATTTTCTTAACATACTGCTCTCTGTGCTGTATGAATGATTTTGTTATAATTTTATTATGAGTGGTTAGCATTTCATCTGTGTCATACAGGGGCAAATCTTTGTTTAAATTTAAAAACTTCAACACCCTTTCTAAGATATGGTACTTCCTGGCTCCTTCAACAGAACTCTGCTCCGGCCTGACATTCTCTTGCTGCGGGCTTGGTCCCCTGGGTGGGAGCGGCCTGTCTTCAAGGCCCGCCTCTGCCTGGAGTTGTGGGGTTTCTGCCTTTTGTTTTTCCTATGCTTTCAAGTCCCATTTCTTGTAATTTTCAGGTTGCCTTCCTGTAATTGTCCCTCTCCTCTTGTTCCTTGGCTCCTTTTTAATGGCTCTGGGCTGAGAGGCTGTGTAATTAAGCCTGTTACAAAATGAGTTCCAAAAGGAGCATAAACAAGCGCCGAGAGCCTGGGCCCTGTGCTCTAGAGCAAAAGCATGCGTTTCATGTCACAGGTTTTTAAATATCCATTTTGGATTTTCAGAGAGATTTCTCTCCCTCTTTAGTTGTTGACTGTTCTGGAGAATTAGGTCATGAAGCTGATCCGTTTGGCTGTCTGCTCACCGACCCACTCAGTGATGCTGTCCATTGAGCAGCTACCCAGTGCTGACCTGAAGCAGGCACGACACTGTGCACAGGCAGCAACCTCCGCCTGGCAGAGGACTTGGGGGACAGAAGGAACACTGTCAGGGAAATGTGGTGAAGACATTTCCAGTTTTACTCCATGGGATTTTAAAACACTAATGACAGGAATGCTGTGCAGGGAGAGAGAATGTAGCAGGCCTGAGGCTGCTGACCTTGGAAGGCCCGCTGGCAGGGACCTGGCCTCCCGGAGCCTGCCTGGTCACACTTAACTGACCAGGGTCCCAGGGCTGAAACCGAGTGTCCTGGTTCATAGAATACCACTTTTCTTCTGGGAGCTTGGGGTTTTGGGGTGCCAGCAGGTCTCCCCTGTGCACCAGCCCCTGAGCACCCCGGCCCCTGAGTCTCCCTCGGCCTCTGTGGGCTGGAGGAGCCCACACGCGCCGGATTTGCAGTGTTCTGTGGAGAGGTGTATGGACTGTGGAGCACATGAGGACACTGGCCCGTGGAGCCTCCGGCCTTTTGCCTGTGTCCTTGTCCCTGGTGATTGAGCCGCATCTTGACCATGCGTAGCCTGTGCTGGGCTCTCTGAAGCTCGGGGCGGGGGCGTCCCGAGAGCCCACCTGGATGTGAAGTCCACGGTCTCCTGCTCTCTTCCGCCTCTGCGGTGACCGTGGTGGTTTCGTGGCCCCTGGCTGCAGCCAGTCAGCATGGTCGTCCCCTTGGCAGGGGAGGATGAGGGGGCGGCTGGCTTTGCAGCCTTGCAGGCACCGCAGCTCCTCACTCGTGTCCAGGTGTGCGCCTGTGGCCGCGGGGCTGTGTCCCACTGGGGCGCGTTACCCAGCATCCTCTCTGTCCCCGCAGGTACAAACACATCCTCACCGAGCCCGACCCGGTGCCCGCCTACTCGCTGAAGCTGCTTGTGGCCCTGACAGAGCACAACCCGAGCTTCACCAGGTACTGGACGTTCAGGCTCTGTCTCCTTTCTGCCCTGTGGATGAGTTCTGTGTGTGCTTAGAAAATGTCGGGGAAGGGAGGTTCTGCAAGTGGCCTTGGGGCTGCTGGAGAGCTGCCTTTCCCTGCTTCCTGCTCTCAGTGCCGTCTTCAGTGCTGCTTTGGCTCTGTCCTCACACTTGGAAGCCCTCACTTGAGTTTGTACCTTGTGCAGTGCGTGATGTAAAACGACAAGTTGTTTAAAGGGGAAAAATGAATACATATTGTTTAAAAATCTTAGTTTGTGCCTTATTTTGCACTGACCACTTTATTTAAATCGCAGTAGTATTTTGTTGATTGCCACCATTTTATTGGTTGACATCCTAGTTAAAATAGTGCAGAACGCCTGCCCTTCTTGCAGGGGCCGAGTGTGATGGCAGCGTCACACTTGGCCTAGGACAGTGCTGGGAGCACAGGGGGCACCACCAGGGGAAGCTGGGGAGGAGTGTTCCAGGGAGGCTGTCCACACCTGGGGCCACAAGGCCTCTGCAGGACCCTGCTCCTCCGGAGTGGCCAGCTGGTCTTTAAAGACAAGTCCTGAGGTCTTTGAAGTTCCTGCGTCGGAACTGGTGCTGAACTGGGGAACAGAGCTGTGTGTAGAGTGCAGAGCCGGCCGGCCAGGCCCCTGGTGGGCTTGTGTGTGGCTGGGCTCCTGGCTCCTGGCTCTTGGTGGGTGCCTTCCTTGGTCTGAGCCTGAGGTGGCCTGGGAATGTCACCTCCTCGTCCAGGTCCTGAGTGGCTGGCAGGAGAGCGGGGAGCAGAGCTGATGGTTCGCTTGTTGAGGAGGCTCTGTTTCCCTGGCTTCTTAGCACCTTGCAGCCGTTCCAGAGTCGTCCAGATCCAGCTCACGGAAGACGCCATCCTCTCTTCCAGAGGAACAAGATTAGTGCTGAGGGGCGGTTGGTGTTAGAAGCAGCATACAGATGGAGGTCGTTTTTCCTACCTCAGTGTTGAGAACTAATGCTGTGTGCTGACTTTATCCTTTCATCAGTTTGAACAGATTGCTTTTACTCTTTCTTCCTCTCTCTTTCTCTCTCTTTCTGTCTTTTTTTTTGAAGTATTGGGATTGAAAGCGAGGTGCTCTACCACTGAGCTATGTCCCTGGCCCCTTGTTATTTTTAAATTTTGAGATAGGTCTAATTAAATTGCCCAGATAGTACTCCAACTTGCAGTCCTCCTGCCTCAGTCACCATAAACACCAGTATCATAGATGTGCATCACTGTGCCCAGCTGTTATTATTGTTATTTTTTGGGACAGGGCTTCACTGTATAGTTCAGACTGGCCTTGAACGCACTGTGCCTAAAGCTCTGGCTGGTCTGGAACTCACAGTGATCCTCCTGCTTCAGCCTCCTGAGCACTGGGATTACAGGCATGCACCACTCTGCCCAGCCCAGCTGTGTTTATGATTTTTAATGTTCAGTTTAGCTCACACCTGTGGTGTGTATTCTAGACTCTTTTCTTTTCTTGCCAGTTCTATTAAATTCAACTGAATTTCCTCCCGTGGGTAGGGTGGAGAACCCTGGAGAAGTAGAAAAAGAGTGGCTGGCCTCTCTCAAACTGTTTTATCATAAAAGTGGTATAGACTAGGCTTGGAAGTTAATGTACTGTAATCTTTTTCTGAGAAGGCTTCATACACAGAGTTCAGTGGATTGATTTTATAATTGTGTTTTAAATGAGCAAGTACTATCAGCACAGATCGCCTTTGCCTTAAACCCCACAGTAACATCACAGGTCTACAGGCCTCCTCCCCACGGCCTCATAGGCCCTGGAGTGGGGTAACAGTGACTATTTTGGTGTGGGTCCTTCCTGAGCACTTTCTCACTTCTTAAACTCAGTACGTACGCTGGCATAGCTGTGGTTAAAAACTAATAGACAGTGTACTCCAGGTGTCTTCTCAAAAATTACCAACATGATATGGAGATCTTTGATCTGAGTCTTTATTCTTACTCTTATCTAACTATTGCTGAACTATCAGGGATTTTATTTTACATTCACCTAATGACTGATAATATTGAGTACTTTTTAATGTTTATTCACTGTATCTAATTAAAGTGTACGAGTTGAGTGGTCATCAGTGCTACCTCTGAGAAGCTGTTTTGCAGAAAAATGCCAGGTACATGAAGATTTCCGTTTGGGGACATAATTTTTTTTTTTTTTTGTACTGGGGATCGAACTCGGGTCCTTGTGCTTGTGCAGCAGAGGGCGAAACCACTGAGCTAAATCCCTGGCCCTGGGCAAATAATTTTTAAAATGATACAGTTTTCTATAATTTATATAATTTTGTACAAACATAGAATTAAGTTACAATATAGCCATAATGTAGAATACTCGAGGACAGTTTAAAAAGGCAAAGTAAATATTGGACACCGGTGCACAAAGATGCCAGCACCACTCTGTTCAGCAGAATTAGCTGTGCACCTCCTCTTCCCCGTGCGCAGCTGCCTTTGCCTCCCTTGGGCTCTCCCGCTGGGTTCTGTTCTGACTCCCCTTCCACAGAGATGGGTTTAGTGGACCCTGTCCCCCCGAGTTTGGGCTGAGCCTCGAGTCGGGAAGAGATTACTGATGGCTCCACACCCTGCTGCGGGCACTGGACAGAGCCCTCACAGACTCTGGGATGCGGACATGTAATAAAGAATCAGGCTCAGTATTTCCCTGACTAGGGTATTAAAAATACATCTGAAGCGGAACATTTTGAAATGGGGAATACATTTTTACCAGGGAAAGAGAACAGTGTAAGAAGACACTTGTGGAGAAGTCTCCTCCTTCCAGCTGTTCTGTTGCAGCCTCCTTTTCCTCACATTCCCTGTACTGCATTCATTTGTGTCCCAATGCAAGCTAATACGAACATGCATTTTCTCTCTTCTTCCTTTTAACACAGATAGCATATTGTGCATGTGTTTTTAGCCCTTGATTTTTTTCACGTAGTGGTATATTTCCAATGGCATACCTTTATTTATTTATTTATTTACTTACTTACTTATTGGTACCGGGGATTGAGATCGGGTCCTTGTGCTTGCGCAGCAGGCGGTGAAACCACTGAGCTAAATCCCTGGCCCTCCAATGGGATAGCATTTTAATACCAGAATATTTGTATATGTTACACTATGTGTTACATAGGACACTCTGTAACAGTTTAAAGGGGCAGCATGAATGTTGAATACTGGCACACAAAGATACCTGCACTATTTTGGTAAAGTTTACTTACTTCCTCTTCTCCTCGTATATGTCATAATTTATCTGTTAGTGTCCACAGGGCAGACCTGTGCTGTTTCTAATCTTGTGATGTTGCAAACGATGAGTAATTGTGTGTACCTAACACTCTGCACGCTGAAGGGATGGCTGTCGCCAGTGGTGTGTGTGCTGCTTCTCACACAGTCGGTTGGGTGCTGGCTGCACCATTCGGTGTCACTTCCGGACATTAACAACTTAACACATGGAAGATGTGGCACGTGTCCTCTGTGCCCCTTTTTGACAGACGCACAGATTGCATTTTCTGCATATTGATTTGGCAAATCCCTGTAGAGAACATTTCCCCCCCTAATCTCTTACTATTGAAAACAAAACCCTCGGTAAGGAAGGCTCTTTGTCTTGTGTGAATGCACGCATGTGCTGAGTACCTGGACACAGAATTGCTTCATCAAAGACAAAGGCTGGGTGGGGGAAGTGGGGGGTGCCAGCTTGTCTGCACATTGGTGTCGCCCGGAACGCTGTTAAGAATCCCAAGTCCCTGAGCTTAGCCAGGTGGGCAAAGAGGATAGGATCTTGGCCACCTGAAACCTTGCTCCATCCAACCCGCTCCCCCCACCCCCCACCCCGCTTCTGGCCTCCAGGCTGTGCTGCTACCTGGTTGCACACTACAGAGGCACAGGGGGTCATAAAGGCCATTGTCCTGAGCTCCAGAAGATAGAGCAGAAGTGAACAACAGAAAGAGGGCCTCAGGCTCCTCGATGAAAACTGAAGCCCACTGGAAAAGTGAAGAGAATCTCTGGAATAAAGGCACACCAGACCACCGTACTTGGTAAGTTGGAGGGATCATCACCTCCCATCAGAACCTGGACTGTCTTCAGGGGAAGGGCAGCAGGAACCTGCAGTAGAACCTTGCAGAGTTCAACCC